TTAATTTTATTATGATCACTATTACCAAGCGGTTCAGCTATATTCACCTCTTGGACCAGATCTTGTGCTCCACTTAGGACTAAATCAGGAATTGCCTCTCCTCTTGTGGGTTCCAGGACTAGCTGCTGCAAAAAGCAGTCATTTAAGGTTAAAAAACTTTATCTCTGTATCCCGTCTTGAGGTGGTATGTACCCAGTCAATATGAGGATAGTTGAAATCCCGTGTTATTATTGATTTTTTTTATCTTTATAGCCTAGCATTTCACAGTCACTTTTACCATCTTGGTCAGCAGTATATTCCTACTGCTATATTGTTATTATTCAAGCATGGAATTACTATCCATACAAATTGTATGGTACAGTTTGGTTCATTTAAGATTTTTACTTCATTTGACTCTACGCTTTCTTTCACAGATGGTGCCATCCCCCCCGCCCCGCCACATGACCTGTTCTGTCCTTCCGATACGTTTTGTACTCTTGTATTATTGTGTCCCATTCATTATCCTCATTCCACCAAGTTTCTGTGACGCCTATTATATGAATATCCTCATTTAATATGAGGCACTCAAGTTCACCCATCTTATTATTTAGATTTCTAGCATTTGTATATAAGCAGTTAAAAAAATTGTCACTTTTTAGCTGTCTGCCATTATGTGATATAAATGAATGGGAATCTTTTTCATTTGACTGTTTCAAATCAGATCCTACTCGTATTTTATCATCTTCCATCCTCTCCTCCTTACTAGGACTTTGCAGGCCGCTCCCCCTTTACTTTTTTAGATATCTATACTATAGAAGCAGCACAGCAACTTCAAAAAGTGTTCTAAATGATTTAACTGTTGATACAACTGATTGGTGTCTGGTCTGAATTAGATTGGTGCCACATATTACTATGGACCGATGGGTTCCAGGATGAGCACCTGAAGGCACTCCTGCCATAATCCTTGTAAATCTATCCTGAAATCAACATAGCATAAAGGCTACAAAAGGCAAAAACCTTAAACAAGCAAGAGGCTGGCATTACAGCTGAGGGTTGTGATTATGTTGGCACTAGTTGTCTCAACATAGATCTTATGTGGTTAGTGTAGAAACTGTGACTGAACACCTTGAAACTTCAGTTACATTTGATGCTCTCATGTTGACAGACTGCTTCAAAACATCAGTTTCTTTGTGGCCTCAGTACACCACCCTATTCATGTTTGACACCAGCTCAGGAGACAGGGACTCATCTCTCCCTAAACACAGGTTTACCTCATGAGGAGCGTATTTAACTCTGAAGACATTCCACTCTGTTCTCAGAAGCTGGAAAACCTATGGAGACTCCAGTCACAGTAGCATTCATACTGCCTCAGTCACCTTGAGTCCTCTAGAAGATAGAGTATACTCTATAGATTCTTATTTTCTTTCCACCACGTTATGTTGGCTTATCAGATACATGCACCTAGTATCAAACTAGCTGAAGTTCAGTTGATGCCAGACTTTGTAGGAGCTCTTGGCATTATGAGTGTACAAAGTGTATTGGAATTGAGAGTTGTGACTTGATCAATCCATGACACACTTGGCTCTGGTGCCTACACAGACATATGCCACCAGTGCAACTGGAATCAATTCCTGCTCCAGTGGCACTATTCTCTTTTCAGCATGGGCAGCTGTACAACATTCTGCATCTCCTGTCCAAGAAGAAAGAAACAGGTGAACATGCAAGACTGTTATCTTGACAGATACCAAATATCTATCAGTTGGCGAAAGGAGGAAAAAAAACAAATTTTCAGCTTTTTCAGCATATGAAGAATTTTTTTGCCAAACTTTTCATTGCCTTTCCTAAAAAACCCAGAGTCTCAAAATTAGTGCACAAGTGTAATGTAGTAGAAGAAATATTTGGACTTAGTAAAGCATTTGACACTGTTTTACATATGTCACTTGAAAATTACACAGGCTTTGTGTGGAACACTGTCTTGTGTAATGAAAACAAGCTGAAGGCCCATAAACAAAGGCTAATGATAACAGTGTATCAAGTAGCGAAAAGTGAGGTAAGATGGTACACTACTAGGATGAATGAGATGAAATTGAAAAGGAGAAGAATGAGGCTGAATATCAGAAAAATCTAAATGACAACAAAATAGCCCTGAAATGGTAGAAACTCTCTCACTTGGAATATTTAGAACTATAGAAAATACTAGAAAATATTCTGTAAAAGAGCATCCTGCATTTGTGAAGAGATGGACTGTATGATCTAGTAAGTCTTTAATCAGTTCCTACTACGATTGTATGAAAATGGCTAGGATTATTCCACTTTCTTTGGCAACTGTCCATGACGCTGGCATATCTAAAGTAAGTGGACACTGTTCTTCCTCTAGAAAGGTTAACAGTGCCTGTTTTGATGGATCCTTATCAAGTAGGTGAGAGGGACATCTGGCAATATGAAAATACCATCCAAGCAATCTGCAAAAGGGCAGAAGTAATTGGAGCACAGGGACACTGATGACCTTCTGCCACACTCACCATGAAAACCTGGTAGCAGCTACAGTGGCCAGAGAAGAGTGATAGGACACGTGTTTTGGCACCCCTTCTCTTTGATTGTAACATTAAAATGACTGTTTACCAGTCTTCAAAGCTTACACTGTGCATTGGGGACTACTAATCATTATTACCAAGTATTAGTTGATACACAAAACGATTTGTGAGGTGGAAGAAGGCTCCCTTCCAAAAAATATATATATATATTTTTTAAATCAGTCCATCAGTGAGCTAGTTAGTATGGTCTTTAATGTCCATGTTGCAACAATCAGAGCAACAGTCACTGGGATAGAAGTCTGCTGCCAATATAGTTCAATGGGAACTATAACAGAAACACAAGGGCCTGCTGCATGATGGCAAAGTTAAGAAAACTAAAGCCACTCTTTTTCCCTAGCATGTGTCATGGGAGGAGGTCCAGTGAGGAAAAATAGCGGTCTAGATTAAGATTGGGTGAGCAACCTTAATTCTGGCATTTCCAAACATTTGAGTGCTTGACTTTGCACTTTTACCATGTAACTATTGTAATTTGTGTGTGTAATGTTTTACTTAGGTGGTGATAAAGGAAATGGAGAAACAAATACCGGAAGAAAATTATGCTCTTACATGGGAAATACCACTATTAATTCAAAATGCTTCCTTTTTGGGCCAGTGTAGGCTTAGTGTGTATCTACAAAATTCTTGATGGTTGTAGTAGCTGTTTATATATGATGGGATTGCATGTTTTCCCTCCGATGGAGGATTAGCTGATCATGGACATAATTTTAGAAGGGATTCAGTGGAGACACAAGTGGAACCTTGAGGTTCTGAAGTCAACAGAATTCATGAGAAAAACTACCTGGAGTCCCATGTTGTTCCTTATTACAATTGGAGTTTGTAATAGTCTCTTCTAGACACAGCTCATTTTAAAGTCTTCGTGTCCCAGACCAAGGTCCGGAACACTGGATGTATCAGAGAGAATTTGTCAGGTGGCTACTGTCAACAAGTTGAGAACACTGAGCCTCATGTCTTTAGCTGTGTTCATTACTCATGGCACACCTTTTTATGATGCCCAATGGATGCCCAAAAATCTCAACTGATATGATTTAAAGACAATGGTGATGCTATGGCTTTAGTAGCTGTGTATTCCAAAATGGACTAAACAAGTAATTATGGAAATCACTGCAAGTGCTCCTGCTGACTTATCCAGAGTTCTGGAGCATTCCTTCCTGCTATGTAGGAGGATCTATGGGGTTTAACAGGGGAGACTTTGTGAGGAGGATTGTAAATGTGACTCAGTTCACAATTTAGAATATTTTGGCTCTTTCCTTAGGTTCTACTGTGGAAGGTTGGCTGTTTAGAAAAAAAAAAAAAAACAGACAGGTCTGGTCAGGACCATAAGACCTTTTGGCTGCAGTATACCTATCTGCCTCCATCTGTCCAATACTGAAGTAATTATTGGGACTTAGGGGTGGACAAGTCCTGTGAGGCAGGCTGGGTCTCCAATGGTTTTCTTCTGGTCTGAAGCTTCCTCTGAATCCTCCTTGAAAGCCCACCTCTATAAAATAAATAAAAAAAAGGAGGCAAAAGACAGTGAAGACTGCAGCCATAACATTTCTATGTGTTTTGTTCAGTATGGCCACTAATTGAGGATTGAAGGAGCTGATCAGTAGACTGGGGGGAATCAGAAAGCTGACAATCTTATCTTGTTTGAAATATGCTACCCACACTTCCCATATCACTCATCAAGCCCACTCTGTGACTGGGAGGTTTGGGTGCTACCTAAGTCAGAAGTCTGGCAGACCTGCTTTCTGTTCTAATGCATGGGCAAGATTAGACCTGAAGAGCCCTCTTTGGTCAGATTTTTCACAATGAGTGATCAAACTCCACACTGAACAAGTTGATCTCCCAGTGTTTAGGGTCAGCCTGTGCATATGAAACATTTTTTCTCCTTTCAAGAACCTTTTTCTCTCCTATCAAAACACTGATTTAAAAAGAGCATACTGTTGTTGCCAGGCTCTTTGAAGCAGGGAGAAACTGAACAGTACAAGTGCATTTGGAGCTGGCCAGAAAGTGCCCTATCTCTTAGCAGTGATTGGATCTACTGACTGTAATGCTAATAACTGAAAGGAGAGCCCAGATGTCATGAACTGGTCTTTTGGAAGTGAAGAATTTGAAATTTGAATTTGAAATACAGTAATCGTTAGTCATTTATAGAATAGCATACAAGCCAATGATGTTGCTCCCCATCCTTGTTTCCTGTTCTTGTGTGTAACAGAAATATAGTGTTTAGCTGATGTTAGTGTGAAAAGAATGTTTCATCAAAATACATTTTTGAAGGAAGCTGTTTCTTAATTAAGCCGTAAAGAGGAAATCTAATTTCAAAAAAGTTGTTTTAACTTACAATGTTTTTATGCATTGGTGCAGTATGGTTTTTTTTATCTTACATTTCTGTTAGTTTGTATATATAATGTTTCTAATTTGTTTCTGTGCAAAATTGTTGTCTAGAAGAAACAAACAAATCTACTAAGGAAGATTTAAGGCCCGTGCATCCTCTACTAAGAGTGATAGAATCTCCTCTACAGCCTTCTGAACCTACCAAGGTGAAAGAAAAAATTAAGAAAAAGGCAACTGGAAATTGTTCAGAGAATGCAACAAGAGAAGCTGGGCTTGAGGGATTTGTAAGTAACAGCTTTATTCCACTTTATTTGAATAAGATATTATACAGCTAAGATATTTGAATATTATGCAACCAATACATATTTTCATGTTGTTACAACATTTTACTGGTTAGAATTCTCTTATGTTAAGTATTAGCATGCAAGTAATTTTTCAGTGTATCCAATGATCTAATTTGCAGAAAGCTACAATTCAGTATAAACTGGACCTTGAGATCCCAACCTTGGAACAGAATTCATTTTCCAGGAGTTTATTGCCATTCTTCTGACAATTTCTTAGTAGCATCTGTGTGTATGATGTAATATGGATAACTGAGTTAGGCACCTTAACTCAAATTCATTAGTTTTGTTAGATCAGTAATTCTAGAGCCAAATATCTAGGTATGTATTAGGTGAACTCCATGTCCCTTCATTTATAAATACATAACTGGTACACTCTGAAATGAGTTTTTCTAGTAAATTTGCCTTTTAAATAATTCCAGAATTTATCAGAGCTTGAACCGCACTGCCTCAGACAACGAGAAGACTATTTAAAACAGAAGCGAGATATGCTGATGGCTATAAAGAAGGAGTCAAGAAATAATCTACCAACACCAAATATAGATCAGAAAGAAGAGGAATTATCTTCTAAAGAGGTGAAGGATGACCACTTTAATCAGCATGACTAATCTTGTTTAGAAAAATCGCAGACCACTTCAATGAAGATATGGATATAGCAGCTGAATATTGAAACAGAACAAAAGAACAAGGAAAAAGTGGTAGAATTCAATGGCAGAACACACACAGTTGCAAGTTATTCATTGTGCAGAAATTAGTTCTCCAATCTAAAACCATTATAGATAAGAAGCAGAAAGCTTAGTGATCTAGTGAGCATTAAATGCTTTTTCTACAATGGTAAATCTTCATAATAAACCCATGCTCTATGCTCTTGCGCATATTGTTAAACTGATTCATTGCATGACAGTTTGCTCCTACCTGCTAGTGAGATGTGATTTTGCATACTGGTTCCCTGAAACGTTAGTTCCTTTTTTGCTAACACACGCAGAAAAACAACGTTCATGGTCAACACCACTAGCTTGAATTTTCTGAGAAGTGTTATTTTACAGAAGGCTTAAGTGTGATTACTTCCTTTCTTTTGAGACTTTGTAAAGGGTTTTAATTGTATTTCAAGTGAGTCCTATAGCTTCAGCTACTGGTGGAGGAGGCAGCAGTATTAAGGCAAGGAGGCCTGAAGTTTGGGTGCTAGTACCATCTTTTTACCTTGCACAAAAATCTAGGCTTTTGTGCTGAAAGCAATCTTCCTGTGATAGAGTTAGGACCATGGAAAAGCAAAATGATTTCTTCATAGCTGGCATATTCTTGATGGCTCTAATCTCTCCTGTCATTAGACAGTTGTAGTGGTGACTTGGAACATTCAGTACTGTAGCCTATCATTCTCTTGAAGAGGCAGGAATAGGTGTGCATTGCCCATTTGGCACAATACAAAGAAGATCAAACTGCCTATGAATAGCAACATCACCATTCAAGAGAACAAACGTTTCCTTTGTGAATTTTTTAAAATTTAAAATACAGACAAGACCAGTTGGTCCCTTATGAAGGGAGAATGAGTACTGTGAGTTTGTAGGGGAACTGAAGAGATGAAGATGCCAGAACACTTGTATTTGCTGTTTGCTGCTGTGTCGAAGCAGAGAAGGATTGAAACCTTCATTTCTGGATTAGGGATTTTAAATTTACATAAATTAAACCTCAGGCTTTCTTCCTAGGGCATCTTCTCCTTAAGAATTAAGCAATGAGTTCCATGAGATTTTTAAAAATTACTTAGTTCTTAAGTAAGAACAGCATCAGATGTACACTACCTCTGATAAAATAAATTATCAGTTATTGTTAGCTGGGGTCAGTCCCTGCTGTGTGGTAAAAGCAGCACGCTTAGCGTATGTCTACACTGCAGTTAGACACCCATGGCTGACCAGTGCCAGCTGACTCTTGCTCAAGAGGTTTGGGTTAAGGGGTTGTTTAACTGGCATGTAGATATTTGGGCTCAGATTGCAGCCCAAGTTCTGGGACCCTCCCACCTCACAGGGGCCTAGAGCCCCAGCTCCAGGCTGAACCTGAACATCTACACCAGGGGTTGGCAACCTGTGGCACGTGTGCCAAAGGCAGCAGGTGAGTGGATTTTTAGTGGCACTTTGCTGCCAGCCGGGGTCCTGGCCCTGCTCAGCCCGCTGCCGGCCTAGATGGACAGAACCCTGAGCGGGGCTGGTTGCCGCGACTCCAGCTGGCAGGGGCCAGCGGCTGGGACCCCAGACTGGCAGCGTGGGCAGCAGATGAAACCCCATACTGGCAGTGGGCTGAGCAGCTCAGCCCGTTGCCTGTCTGGGGTTCCATCTGCCGCCCACACTGCCAGTCTGGGGTTCTGTCCGCCAGTCCCTGCCAGCTGGGATCCCGGCCACCGGCCCTGCTCAGCCTGCTGCTGGCCCGGGGTTCCGTCCATCCAAGCTGGCAGCGGGATGAACGGGTTTCCGGCCCCCGGCACCACTCAGCCCGCTGCCAGTCTTGGGTTCCGTCATGGGGCCCCTGTAAATGTAAAATTTATTACTGGCACGCCACCTCTCAAAGGTTGCTGACCCCTGATCTACACAGCAGTTGGCTCGCAGGGCTTGGGCTAAGGGGCTGTTTGAGTCAGGTGGCATGGGCCATCCACAGCTTTTTAATTGCAGTGTGGACATATCCCTAGGTGCTGATATATTTCATTAGCTTTTGTCTTCTGTAGCAACTGTTAATGACCATTTTCAGACAGGAAGCTGGCCTAAAAGGACCACGTCTGTTCTGGTACAGCAATTCCTGTATTTCTAATTAATTTACTTCATCCTGTCATAATCAGACACTAGATGTTGCCTTGCAAAAAGAGATCTGTGTCCTGCTTGAATGCACACAACCTGAGTTTAGTGGTGCAAGGATGGTTGAAAGAAGGAAATCACTGCAGTGTGATTCAGCAGACTGAAGGATAAAGTTTAGAAAACTCCTAAAAGTAGGACCAGAAAAGTTAATCTGATGAGACCAATTATGCCTGACATCAAAACAGCATGCCTCCCTTACATGTAAGCATTGATGCTGGCCCTGATATATAAGGGAACGCTCACAGTTCAATAAACAAGATGGAATTCAGTACTCTCTGTACAGCTGCTTGATTGGTGGGAGTTAAAGAATTCATAACCATGTTTGTTCCTAAGCTAGGACCATAGTATTGGTCAGTGTGCACTGTATTTCTAAGTCTGTTGATAGAAGATCATTTGAAAGCAATCTGCCCCATTTGTTTCCCTAACTTTCTGGAAATACTTCCATGTTAAACTCGATAGGAAATTTTTCTAAAAAAGGCAAGTACTATAAACTCCACCTCTAATTGTAAACTCAGGACATGTTTTGCTGATAGTCTCTTGTATCACACCAGTAATATAGACTCTGCAATGAGAATTTTGATGACAATTGCACTGATTTCTGATAGTACAATTCACCTAACACTTCTGTAGCAGTATTGGCTCTGTGGTGCTAAGCACAGAGATAACTTGTGTCAGAAAGTAAGCAGACATGGTAAGATACCCTTACTACACAATGACTTGTCAGGATTAAAAGCTGATTTAACTGATAGTAAAGAAAGTTATAATAAACAACTTGCTGCAGATCAAAGTAAATAGGGGGAAATAAGTCAACTTTCTTATAAAGACTTTTCTAAATTTTTAATTTTAAAAAAATTTGAGTTTTATTATACTTAGAACATTGGATTGCCTTGTCTCTCAGATCTGCCCCTCTAAACGGTTAAGGAGCAGCACTGACTGACTTCAAAGGAAATCTAGGCCTCCTCCAGGAGGATTATTATTTTACAGTAGGGGGAGGGCAGAGGCAGACTTGCTCAGGGAAACAGAATGCTTCTCCCCAAACAGTTGAAAGACCTTTATATTTCTGATAGAGAATAATGGGTTTGAGAGATCAGGTACTGTAGCATGGCAAGGTCAGAATCACTGATATTCAGGGTCTAGCTAGTCTGATGCTAAGCCTCCAACAGTGATCAACACCAAATACTTACTTCAACTCGACACCAAAGGAAAATAGTACTCTGAATGTTCACACTATTAATGATTATTGTGCTTTATGGAGAAGGGGGAGTTACTTTCTTCAGCGCTTAAGATGAATTGTTATCAATATCACTGTCTTAAAAGAGGAAATATTGAGTTAAGCACACAGCTGTGTGTCCAGGAAGCCCCACTAACTAACTGCTTGAGCTACTACAAATCTTTGTTAGCCTTCAATCCCCACCCCCAACCTCCTCCTGTTTGAAGATATCACACAATGCATAATGTTGACATCACCACTGGTTACAGTGAGTTAGCATTTAATGCTGTACAATGGGATATCTCCAGCAAAGCTGGATTTACCAAGTTGACGTGAGGGAGGTGCAAAATAGCTTATAAATTATTTCAGTACCATAAGATCCCATATTCTGGTACTGTAAGAAGATATCTGCAGATGTGTACTAAAGACAATTTTTATTATTGCTTTGTAATTCACCTTTACATACCACTCTGCTACACAAATTATGTTGATCACAAAACTAACGTGTTAGGGTTTGGCTGAGGAACATGGGGTGCATCATGCTCTCCTTTCTGCTCGGAGAGTGTGTTGTCCCCAGGTGTAAATTACAGCAAGTATCATAGAAGATTAGAGTTGGAAAAGACCTCAGGAGCTCATCTAGTCTAACCCCCTGCTCAAAGCAGGGCCAACACCAACTAAATCGTCCCAGCCAGGGCTTTGTCAACCCAGGCCTTAAAAACCTCTAAGGATGGAGATTCCACCACCTCCCTAGGTAACCCATTGCAGTGCTTCACCATCCTTCTAGTGAAATAGTGTTTCCTAATATCCAACCTCGACCTCCCCCACTGCAACTTGAGACCATTGCTTCTTGTTCTGTCATCTGCCACCACTGAGAACAGCCTAGCTCCATCCTCTTTAATATCCCTCTTCAGGTAGTTGAAGGCTGCTATCAAATCCCCCCTCTCCTCTGTTCTGCAGACTAAATAAGCCCAGTTCCCTCAACCTCTCCGCATAAGTCATGTGCCCCAGCCCCCTAATCATTTTCATTGCCTTCTGCTAGACTCTATCCAATTTGTCCACATCCTTTCTGTAGCAGGGGCCCCAAAACTAGACACAATACTCGAGATGTGGCCTCATCAGTGCCGAATAGAGGGGAATAATCACTTCCACTGATCTGCTGGCAATGCTCCTACTAATACAGCCCAATATGTCGTTGGCCTTCTTGGCAACAAGGGCACACTGTTGCCTCATATCCAGCTTCTCATCCACTATAATCCCCATGTCCTTTCTGCAGAACTGCTGCTTAGCCAGTCAGTCCCCAGCCTGTAGCAGTGCAGGACTCTGCACTTGTCCTTGTTGAACCTCATCAGATTTCTTTTGGCCCAATCCTTCAGTTTGTCTAGGTCTACAGAACCTGTGCCGTTATCAGCCATCCTGAGCTTTGGGAAGCTGCCAAGATTGCAATTTTTGCAAGTAATTTCCATTTCAGTATTTAATTCTGAGCTCTTGAGAAAAATCTCCATTCATTGTTTATGGTCTGAATTGACTTATAAAGTTCCAGTAGACTTTTATTATTGGAAGTCAATTTTCCATGCAGCCAGAGAGGTTATATTGTAATGTAATAGTTTTAATTTTGTTTTTAGGAAATGTCAGAAGAGGAGAAGCAAAGACTACTACTGAAGAGGAGAATGCTTGCAGCAAAACTTAAAGAAGAAGTTATTAACAAGCACTAAGTTTTAAGAATCTCATTGTAAGAATACTTGTGGACAAGAATTGAATTTCTTTTAGAATAAATTATTTAACCATAAACTGCTTGCTTTTAAACACAATATACTGTTGATTTTCTACAAAACATGAGCAACTCATTTATTCATATACATATTTAAAATTAAATTGCATCCATAGTAGTAAAAACTCTATTTCTCACACTAACCCAGTGGGCCAAGATTTTTTGAAGTGCTGACTTCTCTGGGGTCTGCTAGGTGCTTAGCACTTTAGAAAATCAGGCTACCTATTTAGGCAGCACCTCAATAATTATGAGGTATTTTATTACCATAACACCTAGAAACCCTACGCATGGACCACATTGCCCTTGTGCAGTAAGGACTCAGGATCCTACCTTTAGACACCCATCTTTGAAAAGCTTTGCCATAGCCACTTATTTAAATTTACACCTTTGTTCTCTTTAATATATAAAAAATTCAAACACCTCTACATGGCTTTTTCCCCTTTTTTCAAAACACATACTAGAAATGTTCATAACATGGAAAACATCATCTAAAGAATTCTTACATCGGTTCTCTAACAGAGAGGTAAAAATACAAAACTTGCTTCTTTTCCTTTTATTAGTCTGTCAGCGAAATATTACCCTTTTCAAGTGTCAAATATGATAAAGTCTAATTAAACAGGGAAGCACTCAAGTTTTGTTTGAGAGAGAGGAAATGCAGATGAAGCTTGTGAAGTCATGAGACAAATTTCATAGTAACTGTAGATTCCATTGTTTTTATAAACTTTTTGGGCCAATTTAACAGTAACTAAGGAACAGTAACTGTGTTTTGTGGCAAAGTACAACTTTTAAAACTAAACATTTGTTGTCTCAGTTAAGTAAAATGTGAAAGCACTTATAATGAGCTAGTCCCATAATTCAAAATTTTGAAAACAATTTTTGCCATTTGGTTCACTACAATTCACTGCTGTCTGGTCATAAATCCTGCTTAGAACATTTCTCAGCAAAGAGGCTGTAATCTGCAAGGTTTCATCACTAACAATGCTTGATTGGCGCAGTAACTGAGTAAAAAAACACCCAACCAATCAAAATTTCATGTAACTTTTTATTAAAATAGTATTTATAACTGATACATGTTGGCAGATGTAATATTTTTTCTAAAAAAAAAAAAAAAAAAAAAAAAATCTGTAGTGGAGGGGCCCCAGGCATTAGAATGTGTCTGTCCCTAGCAGAATGCAGACAGCATATAATAAATCATAGATAAAAGAATCTTTGCCTGAGGCAGGTGACCCTGGATGTTAGCCAGTTTGAGTGGGAGCTCCATATGTCACCCTCCCAAGGGGGTTTAAAAAGTTTAATAAAAATGTTCAAACCTTAAGATGACATCAAATGTCTCTTCATATAGTTTTATTCTTCTAGAGTAACTATAAAAATTCACAACATTCACATATTTGCTATAGAATAAAGGCTCATGAGCTGGTCTGAATGAATTCTTAAAGCTCTTGGCAGTTCTTCAGAAGGGAAAGGTTACAGGAGAAAAAATGAGAAACCAACACTTTTGAATCAAAGAACTTTGTTTAAGGTAATTTTTATTAGAAAAAAAATTGGGTTGAGGTCAGGTGATGGTTCCAGCCTCTGAAGAGGAAAGGCAGACACTGCATCACTTTGGAGCCTTCTTAGTGGTAACTATAACTTTGTAGGAAATTGTCATCTTTGAGCATGGAGAAACACGACTTGTCAAGAAAATATAAAACGGAGATCTGGTGAGCAAGCATATGGTGACGATATTCCAATCACATTTGAACGAGCTTCCCTAGTCACTGCCTTTGAGTTGGAGGCTAGCTTACCAAATGGGTAAGAGGAGAGGCCACATTCTTGATTGCCTGGAGCCTACAAGGGGCAACAATAACTCCCCCAGATCCACCCGCATTAACTGTCATCAATCAGAATGCTTTGTGTCTAGCTTACTGGTTGGTAAGAACTCCTGCATTCTGGTTGGTATTTGATCTAGTGGTATATAATAATTGTTTAAAAACTGCATGAATAGTTTGTCTTATTAAAGAATACTTTAAAATGGCCACATTTCAAAATTATGAGTTAACTTACCATGTACAACAAACCAAACAAAAGCAATAATTATGGAATTACAGGGTCACATTTTAATTCCTGAATGTTACAGTTCAGCATTAATATCACCACATGTATACAAATGGTGTAAAACAAGTACAGTGGTATTTTAATACAAAATAAACTTCTGTTTTATGGAAAAAAACTATACTTCATATCTACACAGACAGTCCATATTTTCCAAACAATAGCTAAAATTAAAATTAACTACAAAATCTCCAAAACAGGTAAACCTGTTTCAGTTTAAACTATTCCAGGAGAAATGGACCCATAACACATATTACAAGAGTGATCTATGTGGTGGTTTGCAGCTGGTTTCATAGTTTAACATCTCTGACACATTAATTGTAGTTTGGGGGGGGGGGTTCCTCACTTCAGCATGATCTCAGATCATATAGGGGCAACTAACATTAAAATATTTACAGTTCACTTGCTGCTCTTTGAAAATAAAACCTCTTAAATTGTTTACCTCCATCAATTTACCTGTTGGGGTTTTTTTTTTTTTTGTTGCAATTAGTTTACGTACATGGAATGTGCTTTTACTCTTTAAAAAGCAGCTTTCATATTACACCCAGGTTCAGATGCTGCATGTTGATCCTGCCTCAAACACAGACTGGTATATTGTTAGCAATAATTCCTTCTTGGTCCAAAATGGCTTCTGGGTGTTAAATGCCACTTTTCAAAACCTTTATTAGTGTTTCTTATAACCACCTCAAATTACACAATTTAAACCTATAAATGCAAAAATGCATCTGCTGCTCAAGGAAGAGAGCTTTGCCAATAAAACAGAAAGTGACTCAATTCACTATCTTCTATCACCTGAAAAACTGCTAGCTGTACTTAGTGTGTAGTTTAAAGTACTAGTTTATTGATCCTAGCAGTTTCTGGAGATCTTTTTGGAAGCTACCGATCCTTGCCATAGATATTGCTGGATATCCAGTTTAAAAAACAATCAAATTAACTGAACTGTCCATTATCCAGCTTGCTTTTTCTCTCCTCTTCAAAATGTGAGTTGAAAGTTCACATTTTTTGCAACTCAACAATCAATTTTTTACAACTCCGGATGCTCCCCACTCCATCTGTCAGACATTTTATTAAATTTGCAACTAATGGTCCCAAAATCTGAATTTATTTTTTTTTTTATGGAAATAGAATTATTTTCCCTTCATTTTCTTTAAAAAAGAGGCAATTGCTAAAAGAACAAAATGGACAGCACCATTACAAAATTAAGATTACTGGGTTTGCAACTGAAGCTTTACATTTTTTTCTAGGTCTGTTACACACTGGAGAAACCCTGCAATATTAAAAATTGTTAACCACACCTTTCTCCCTCCCCCTACCCTCCCAAAACCTGAGACTTTCCTTGCTGAGAAGCTGTCATCCAGGTTCTGATTACTAACCCTCCCTCCTCCCCTCCCGACTGAATGGCAGACTCCTTATTTTACTAGAAAGAGATTAAGTTCCTTGGAAGCCTGATGTTTGCAGAACTAAACCTTTCTCACTGATATACTGAGTTTCTTTTGCTACTCCTTGTATTATCTTATATATTCAAGGGAGAAAGCTTTCTGATTCAGACTCTTTTTAGCTCTTTGAACAGTTGCAGCATTTAAGACCTCACAATATAAATTTATTTCAATGTTCTTATGAACCAAGACGAGGTCTTTTCCTTGGGGATGTCTCCTCTTCTTCCTCTTCCTCTTCATCATCTGGATAATCCACTAAGCCAACTAGACTTCCCTGCTGATTTTAAAGAAAGAAAACCTCACATTTGAAAAAATTCATCTCCCAGAAATGCACAGTTGTAATGAAAATACCAGATCCCCCTTGATCAGCTGTCTAGGGCACAGCTTCAGAAGATTAGTGTATTAGGATGGCATGCAGTAGGTTTATAGATTTCCAACTACAATAAAAAAAAGCATACAGAGTGTTTGGGCCTATGAAACAGAAAATGGTAAGAGGAAAGTTGTCACCAATGAAGTACTTGGATCCAGGCTGACCTATAATGTAAATCTTCCAACACATCAGGGTAAGATGTTTTCTGTATAAAATCAAGGAAAATACCAGTATTGAAAACTGGCTTTCCACTGTGAATTTGACCCAAAGACACTTTAAATGGTCTCACACTATTTTAAAGTCTTTAATCCTATTATCTTTTATGAGTGTCCATTATTTCCTTCTTAGAGTCCTGAGGATCCCCACCTTACTCCTCAATCCAATTTATACTTTTCCCTTTTTAAAAGCCATATAAGCACAGTGATCTATCCTCTAGGCCAGGGGTGGGCAAACTTTTTGGCTCAAGGGCCACATCTGGGTGGGGAAACTGCACGCAGGGCCGGGGCAGAGGGTTGGGGTGCAGAAGGGAGTGTGGTGTGCAGGAAGGGACTCAGGGCAAGGGGTTGGGGCAGAGGAGGGGTGCAGGGTGTATGAGGGGGCTCAGGGCAGGGGGTTGGGGTGCAGGAGGGGGCTCAGGGCAGGGGGTTGGGGTGCAGGAGGAGTTTGGGCTCCGGCACAGCGCTGCTTACCTGGAGCGGCTGGCACCACTTCCCTGTGGCCCCTGGGAGAGCGGGGGGCAGAAAGCTCCATATGCTGCCCTTGCCGCGCCTCCAGGTACCTCCCCTGAACCTCTCATTGTCCGTGGTTCCCTGTCCCTGGCCAATGGGAGCTGCGGGGGGCAGTGCCTCTGCCCCACCCCAGGGGCCGCAAGAACATGGTGCCAGCTGCTTTCTGGAGCAGTGCAGGACCCGCGGCGCCACAGGGGTGGCAATCCCGTGGGTCGGATCCAAAGCCCCGAGGGGCTGGATCCGGCCCATAGTTTGCCCACCCCTGCTCTAGACTGAGGGTCTGAGGAGTTTCCATTTTAAAAACACTCCTCTTCCTCCACCTAAGGTGAATAAGTGGAACTGGTGAAAATGACGCTACTATTTGCAGCAAGAGCTTGGGGATAAGGGAGTGACTTGACTAGAAATTAACCACTGGTCTCTCACTGTAATAGGAGTCTTCAACTAAGTACCAACCAAGTCCTCTGTGTGTCTGCTTAAAGGCATTAGCATGAATTCCATAACTCTAGTTCCACTGATATAGACAGTTCAGAGGAAACAATCAGAGTGAGTGTCTTGTTAATGCCACATCACAGAAAACAGTAAGAAAAACGTTTCCGTTGAAACAGAGGAAATCTGGTTATCTCAATAACTTAAGACTCGTGCCATGACTAACAGCTTGTTTAATACTTGGGAATTTGAGTCCCTCATGTCAGCTGGAAATGCAAGATTGGTGACTCTAGTTGGTAAAATCTACAAGAGCTTGGAATTGCTAAAATAAAGTGTTTTTACGCTTCCCCAAAATTAGTAAAATGTGACTGGACTTGAAATATTTTATTCTTAACGACAGACTGCCCTCAGCCTTCTTTCTATTGTCACACAATATAGGACTTAACACAGTACAAATCAATATGGTTTCATTCAACATATGTTCGAAAGATGAAAACTCATACTCTTATTCTTTCTGGAGTAGGGAATGCCTGCTTTTACACATGCAAGTTCTCTCACCTTAGCGGCTGTTACCGCTGTAGTCAAGTTTGTATTCTTTGAAGAGGAACCATTAGAACTTGCTGGTGATGTCTGAGCTGCTACAGATTTATTGTTTGTACTGTTTGCTCCATTAGCTGCACTGGCAGAGTGGGAAAAAGTGAATTTGAATCCACCAGCTGAAGTCCTTTTTGGAAGATTCTCTTTGTCTTCACTCTCTTTAGCTGAAGGACAAACATTTTAATATACATCAATTGTACAGGTTTTTCACAAATCTACACCCGCTTTGAGCAAAAGTCACCTTACAGTATGTTGCACACCCACACTGCAACCCAGAGAATAGAGGAATTTAAACTGAACAGCTGCTGAAAGGCATCTTCCAAAGAAGGGGGAATGGAATCAATGTCCTAAATATAGGACCAGACTAAGTAGGTCAAGCAAAGGTAAATCTGGCCAATCAGGAGTGTTTGGTAAGAATACAGAAATGAGTCTAATTCACCCTACAAACATGAAACTTCAAATCAACATTAGCTTTTGGAGAAAATTAACCAAACTGGCAATTGAAGTTTCTAGTTCTAATCTTGTTCTCAAAAGCATATTAACATTTTATTTAAATTCCTAGCAAAAATATTTTTTTATTCTAAGTCAGTAGAGTGCAAAATGGTTGTCATAAGTATTAACACAAAAACACTCCACATAGGAGAGGTTACTTACTTGTACAGTAACCAGAGTTCTTAAAGGTATTTTGTCCCTAGGAGTGCTCCACTTTAGGTACATACACACCTGTGCACTTTCAATTGGAGATTTTGGGTTCATGGGTTCTGCACCAGTGCCCTATATAGCCTTGTGCTCTGATCTGAGGGCATATAGGGGAGGGTGGACCTTCTCTTCCTTCTCCATCATGAAATCTGGCCAGAGGCAAGCACTCCAAAGTAGAGGGAATGGAAGGCAGGTAGTGGAACACCCACAGGAACAAAACATCTTGAAGAACTCCAGTTACTGTACAAGTAAGTGACCACTCCTCCTCCTTCAAGTTGCTGTCCCTATCAGTGCTCCACTTTAAGGGACTTCTGAAGAATGCCCAAACTAGATCTAGTACTGATTCAAGAACAGATCCATCAAAGGCTGCATCTGCCCTGGAAGCATACCCAATAGCATAGTGCTGGGAAAAAGTATGCAAGCACAACCAGGTGGCAGCTTTACAAATGTCTGCAGCAATGGGTATGTTTTTAGGCAGAGTAACAGAAGTTTCCTGGGCAGTCACTCTAGTTGGGTGTGTGTGTGTGCACTCAATATGCTTCATGAACATGCCAAAATTCACCCTGAGACCCATTTTGATCGTCTTTGGGTAGAAACGGGGGCTCCCATCGTCCTATACGTGAAAAGACAAAAAGACTAGGAGAGGCTCTGAAGGGCCTAGATCTTTTGAGGTAGAATGTGAGGGTTCTTCTTAAGCCTATAGTGTGAAGACTAGGTCT